ACAAAACCGGAAATTGAGGGGTTATGACGTCATTGGCAGGCGACACAATGACACTATGGACACGCTCCGTGTCACTAGTTAAAATTGGATTTAGGACAATAGGATTTAAACATTCTTCGAAACATTTGGGATAATGTAAGTACACAAGTCAGCAAAATATATAAAACTGTTCTAGTGGTTTTTGGATATTTTAATAAAAAAATCTTACATATTGTGCCTTTAATAAAACATCATTTAAATGATGTCACTTCCTGCACATCACAGTTTTTTATTGTAACATTAATGTAGGCGACAGGGTTGGTCATAAAATTTAGGACAGATAAACATTAAGTTGAGCTCATTAACATTAGTTAATAATTTAAAAAGTATTAATAATTTAAAAATGTAATAACGCTTACTTCTAAGCATGGAATATCATTTCAACAGATTGTTAAAATTGTGAAATTATGATTTTATGGGGTAATACAGACATTTAATGTGTTTTAAACTAGCTATTTTTCATGCTTTATTTTAAGTAATTGTTTATGTAACATGTCTCAGTAAAAAAAAAAAGTGTGATTTATGTGTCTAATGCTTGTAATAAAAAAAAAAAGTGGGAGAAAATATGGGACACAAAATTGTACATGCTCAGAAAAAAAGGTTCAAAGTTGTCACTAGGGCAGTATTTTACCCCTATATGGCACATATTAGTATATTATTAGTACTTTAAAAGTGCATATTAGTACATAATGTGTACAAATTAGTTGTTGTTGTTTTTGCCCCAGTGACAGTTTTGTACTGTTTTCTGAGAGTGTAGAGTATTCTACTGTTTTCTGAGAGTGTCATTTACTCAAAGCTAAACGATTTGAAAATGTACCACAGCCAGAGTCTCCAAAAACCAGTAACCAGAATACACCTGACAGCTGATAATTAAAAATTTATTGATTTGGATGTATGATCAAATCATATTTGACATAAGAAACAAAAGAACCCTTGCATAGATCACAGACCATGCCTTTGTCAATGTACAACAAAATTAAAACATCGTAACACCATTTAGCATAACGAAGACAGAAAACGTACAGAAACATGTGAAGACAACATGAACAGTTTGACCAGATGTACATGGAACAAACATTAACATGGAGTCATCATCTGTCTAACATAAAGATGTAGCTGAGATGGTCAGTACGGAATCACTGTATAGTTTGGGGGTCCTGCTATCTTTTTTGGCGGAATTAAATGTTTCGTCAAATGCATCACTTCCATGACATTATAATGCATGACTTCTATCATTCAGCATCCTGAAAGCAAACAGCAAAATCTCAAATGAAGCATAAATAAATAAATAATCCGAATACAAATATCTGATCAGTGGAGTTTGACGGATTAAAGATTTTCTCCCAAACAAAAGGGAACAACGTTGGCGTATAAATAATGAAGATGGCTTTAGGAACAAATGACAGCAAGGGCTTAAAAAATGAACCAGAATATAGTTGATCCTCAGTTTTGAAAGGCTAAGCTCATGCAGTCTTCCATACACCATGCAGATTTTTGCAATTGCTAGGTTGCTGTTGAGTTTTGGTTTGGTATGGTGGTATGGAGTTAAAGTTATTACAAAAAAGTACATTTTTGATGCTAATGCCATCTATTTTATTTATTTCATGATATCGATAATACAAGCTATAATCTGTTATATATTTGTAATGGCTTGTCTTATGGACTTGTTTGTGAGTCTACTGTAGTTTAATCAAGGGCATGGGTTCTTTAAAGCACAGTTAACTATAGCGCCACATGGACGCAACATGGTAATATAGCTAGACGAGGCCACGCAGGTGAAGAAAATAAGTATGTCTGCAACATCCTCCAAAAGGCCACAACCTGGGAGCACAACTACGGTTTCTCATTTTTTGACAACTAGCTTTCACATCGGGTAACTTAGTAATAGTTATGATGGCACGTCAGTCATTTTTTTTTCCCACTACAGTGTATTTTATCTTTCATTCCTTCTTGAAATACAGTTAGATTTCAGTGTGTTTTTAGGAAATTCTGAGCGATGCAAATTTATAAATAGAAAAACGACCAAATAAGTTAATAAAAAGTGAAATCTATGTAATATGTTATGGATTTACACCTTTACAGAGTCAACTGATAAAAGATTTACTGTACCTCTAAGTCATAATTTATTTAAAATGTTGCTCATAAATTGTCTTCACCTCAGATGAGAGGCCAAATAAACTTCTATTAACATACAGTAATTTGCTTCAATAGGGAAAAGGAAGCAATATTGTTAAGAGGACATTTTTCTTCTAAATATAGTCCGTCAACAAAGTACATGAAATATGAATTTTGCCAACTCTCTGGTGGTAATTATTTTTTCTCTTGCATTATAATAGGTTTAAATTTCTATTCTTATCAAAAGTTTGCCACAGCCCTTGGTGAATATAAAAATTAGCATTCTGGACAGTCCTGCAATACACTTAATCCCTATTGCTATGATTTATGGTGTAGTTATTAAATACAGGATTATGCATAGCACCATAGGGTTTGATCAAAGCTCACATGCCCAGTAGAAACAGTTAGTCCTTATTTAACAATTGTTCCATTTGCCATATTAAATTAAATTGTTGTGATAAAATAAGTTGCATGAAAATCATGCATGTTAATTCTTTAATTCTAGATAAAAAGTAACACAATGATTTGTTTAGCTTGCTAAGCCCATTTTTTTGAAGCAATGTTATGACTTATAAGCAAAAAGCAGATTAATAAAACCCTGAATAGTTCTTCCTGACACGGAGCTGCGGCAGATGTGACTTAAACCCTTGTTAGTGTTATAGCAAACGGCCCAAAGTAAAATACTGCTGTTTGCTTTTGATTGCAATCACACCTCACGGATCAATAAAGATCACATGATCTGGCAACTTGTTTACGAGCTGGTCTGGCAGACTTGCTTGTGTTTGTTAAATGAAATTACCCCAAACAGACTCATTTAATCGCGGCTATTTTAAAGTGTTTTTTAATTATCAAGGAACGTGAAAATGAAAAATGTAGCGCTATGCACTGAATGGCCCACATTACCATGAACACAAGATTTCACATCAATGTTTAAGTCATCAGTACACATCAATTAGGTCTGCATTAAAATTTGTTCTTTACAGTACCTGCAGGCTTAATATAGCCTTAATGGGCTAAGCATGACTTTTAACATTAAGTAACATTTCTTTTAGACGACTATCATTACTTCAAAATGACAGATTTTGCTCATTTTTAACAATGTAAACGGTTGTGTACTTTGTACCCTGTGGTATATGAAAGCCTGTGCTGTTTTCTCTCCCCAGATCTCTCTCTTGTAAAAAAAGCACTGTGATAACAAACCATCAAAAACAGAACCAAATGAATGTTGATTGTGCTTAGCAAGGGAGCGTTTCAGATCCGAGGGGTCAGGGGCAGTCGCATTGTTGCGTTTGTTTTAAGTGCTTGAAAAAAAGGCTAATTCTGGGGTACTCTAAGTGTATTATTTCTGACGTATCATCACACTTCACAGGCTGTTATGTACTCTCGTGTTCTGCTCTGCAGTGAGCTGTGCGGCGACCTCACTGAGGTAGAATCTTTATTATGGCACAACATAATCAAAACCACAATGAAAGGCAGATTGAAAACTCTAAAAGGTCCCATGGTGTGAAAGTCGTATGTCCAATTTCATATTCAAGCTCAGCTGTCATATGAAAACACAGAAAAGGTTAGCATTTGTGCCTGACAACCATGTGTCACGTTCAAAAGAACAACAATGAAAATGAAAAGCACTCTGGATACACTGTAATGACCAGCCTCAGTATACATTATGACAGTTCTAGAGCAGATATTGTTCCCTTGCCCTGCCTAAAACTCCAGTTACTCAGAGGCACTTTCACCTGTCTGGTTGCTGAGAGGGTCAAAGGCACTAGCAACTAATATGAGCCATGATCTCTTTTGCATCCTGCTAAGATAAATTAAGCAATTTTTAATACCGTAAATCCTAAATTTGATCGCAAAATGGAAGCGTGAAGTATAATTGCCCATAGTTTTCTTTTTTTTTTTTTCCTCGAGAGAGAGAGAATGCCCATGCACTGCACTATTAAAGTTATATTATTATAATTTTTTTTTACAGGTGCGCTTAGTATGAGTATATGCATTTGATAGTATCTTGATAGTTCTTTTTTCTGTCTTTGACTACTTTTTAGATTGAAAAGTTTGCATCCCAGCGTTGGGGCTTGCATATATATTTTGTCACATTTCAGAAAATGTCAAGGAATCGACGTCCCTAGTTTCCCTGATTGTAACAACGACACCCTTATGAGGTATCTCAATTGCAACAAGCTGTATTATACCGATGTCATGCATTAAATATACTAGGATACACAGTACCTTAGTTGATTAGGCCATAATGCAGGTTCTTTTGACATGCTATGATATCATTAAGATTCTGTTTCCCGTAAGGTTAAACATTCAGTCTTTAAATACACCTAAATGATGAGCATCTCAAATCATGACACACTAGTGCACTTTTCATGGTGACAAATGAGAGGAGGTCGATGGAGAGGGGAGCTGATGGAACTGAACGCAAACGAAAAGCAAAACAGGAATGGATTTCCTATCACCATGAGGTAATGTCCGACGCATGCCAGTATCAAAATGAGGATAATCAAAACATGCTAACTATGAGGCTCCTCTTTCGGCATTGTGCTGTCTTATATCTAAAGGGCATGGCATTTAATCACTTGGTGATATCTAAATTACAGCATCTGCTGGAAAATAGCAGCAATGCGGATGTCCATGAGGCGATGACCTTGGCCTCCATAGCATCCCAGCAGAAGATAAGTCTTGTTCATATAAGGTGCTTTGCTGGTCAGTTGGGGAAGACCACCTACGGTCGAGGCGTCCACTGAACACTGCACTTGGTCTTTTATGCACTTTCCCGGATGCAGTGTGCAGCTTGCTGAAATGTAGTCTGCAGTCCATGCGTGATGTTTAAGTAATCCCGTCATCGAGAGTCCTTCAATGCCTGTGGACGTTAGCTAGGTGCTCGAAGAGGCTTTTTTTCCTCAATCATCCTCTTTGGAAATGTATTAGACTAAGTATAAACTGAATCATCGGTCTCATCTGCTGCAGTTATGTTCTATATGTTTTGGTGTAGTGTTTTTCTTTCGTCTGCATTGTAGAGATATTCGCATTGCAAGGGCTCACGAGAGGAGGTAAAGTAAGCATTCATATATATGTGACTGAATTTTCTACTGTGTCTCTAGACATCGGTTAGCAGCTTACTTTTGTTCACACAGTTCTGATTAGGGATAGTGCAGTTGCCAGTTCTGAGGTTGGCCTCTCTGAAGTTGTCGATGCTGTTGTTTATGTCTCCATCTATCTCCATGTACTCAGACTTGCTGACGGTTGAGGAGCTGCGACGACTGGAGTTGGAATCAGAGGCAATGTTCGGGTTGCTCACGTTGAGGAGTTGGGCCTGCTCCTCTCCTTCGGTTTCTCTATGGTAGAAATAGTTGAAGTTGGACACGATGACAGGCACGGGGAGGGCGATGGTCAGCACACCAGCGATGGCGCATAGGGAACCCACGATCTTGCCCCCTATAGTCACCGGCACCATGTCCCCATAGCCTACGGTGGTCATCGACACAACCGCCCACCAGAACGCATCTGGGATGCTGGTGAAGTAGGACTCTTTTTCCTCTGCCTCTGCGAAATACACAGCACTGGAGAACAATATGACACCAATGAAGAGGAAGAAAATAAGCAATCCAAGCTCTCGCATACTGGCTTTCAGGGTCTGTCCCAAAATCTGAAGGCCTTTGGAGTGTCTGGACAGCTTAAAGATCCTGAACACCCTGACCAGACGGATCACCCTGAGGATGGCCAGTGATGTTGCCTGCTCTCCCTTTGCCTCCTTTCCGTCCTTTTCCTCTGCTAACTCTGTACCCAGCGTGATGAAGTAGGGAATGATGGCTACAATGTCTATGGTGTTCATCATGTTCTTAAAGAAGGCTGCTTTGCTCGGGCAAGCAAAAAAGCGCACTATCAGTTCGAATGAGAACCAGATGATGCAGAGGGTCTCTATGATGAAGAAGGGATCGGTCAAGATGTTTGGTTTGTAGTAGAAGGTGGTGTTGCCTATAGTGTGCATTCGCCCCCCAGGGTCCTCTTTCAGTTCAGGTAATGTCTCCAAACAGAAAATGACAATGGAAATTAAAATGACCATAACGGACACAATAGCAATTCCTCTGGCGCCCCCCGAGCTTTCAGGATGCTCGAACAGAAGCCAGATTTGCCGTTGAAACTCACGCTCCGGTAAAGGCCGCTCTTCCTCGCGAATGAAGCCCTCATCTTCACGAAACTTCTCCATCGCCTCGACCCCAAGTTCATAGAACTTAATTTCTTCTGAGAACATATCCAACGGGACGTTTGCAGGCCTTCTCAGTCTTCCCCCAGACTGATAGTAGTAGAGGATGGCATCAAAGCTTGGACGATTTCTGTCGAAGAAGTACTCGTTTCTCAAGGGATCGAAATACCGCATTCGCTTCTTTGGGTTACCTAACAGAGTCTCTGGAAACTGGGCAAGAGTTTTGAGCTGGGTCTCAAAGCGCAGCCCGGCTATGTTGATGACCACCCGTTCACAGCATTCGTGATCGTCGTGGTCAGGGGGGTATGTGTCCTGCGGATGCCCCGGCACGGCAGAGGTCTCGTCCATGTTGTCCCCAGCCACGACTGTCATCCTGCAGGTCAAAGATGGAGCTCCGCAGGAGTTAATTTAATTGAGTAGACATCCAACTGCTCTCCCAAAGGCGTAGCTTTCCTTCCTTTTCTCCGTTTCCAGACCCTCAAATCTATCTCGATCCCTGGGTATAGGGTATAACTTGGTCTTTCCTCAGTGTGGCCCCACTGCGGTTGTCACTGATTCGAGCATCGCTCCTTTCCGCTGCATCCACTACAGCTGCCTCTGTCACCGAGTCAGAGAAAAATGGATCGAACAGCAGCGATATTTGCTAGCTCAGCAAGTTCACACTACTTATTTATTTATTTACATGTTACTGTATGTATAAATGACAGAAATGCATAGCCTTAAGAGCACAATTCTGAATCATTATGCTCAATTAGGTTATTGAAAAGACGTGACAGGACAGTGTCACTTTTACTCCATCACCACATACATGCAGTCTACTTCTCACTATATAGGGAAACATATTACTGAATTGCTTATATGTAAGTTTCAGTAAATAAATAGAAAAACATGAAAATGACTTTCACTTCAGGCGTATTCAGGCATTTTTAGTGCTCACCTCGCTACTGAAGGAATGCGTCTTCTGCCAGCAGTCTCCTGTCAGTAATGCACCTTCGATTCCCTTTTGTTGTAGAAAATACGCTTGTAAAAGGCTCTTCACATCTTCTCACTTTCAAACTGTTCGGTTGCTTTCCATAAATATCACATCCATAACGGAAATTATTCACGACATTCGCAAGCGATGCTATAATGAAAGAAATGGCTTTGAGATGTATTACAAAGCTTCACATTAAATTTAAACGTGTGCTAAAAGACAAAAAGCAGGAAAAAAGGCTAAAAAAAAACATGTAGCCGCAACGTCCTCCCTCCACTCCTGCTCGTGCGGCGGCACCTTGGTGTAAATGGCTTATACTGCATGAGAAATTGTAATGCTGCAGCTCAGTTCAGGCGGGAGATACATTAAGGGGGCAAAAGCGAACCATACCATTTCCAGACATTACTGCATCAGCAAAATTTCCCTCTTACAAGTAGACAAGATGACGAGCAGTCTGTTTTATCTGGACACACTGACGGGGGTATGGATGCGAAAGGCTTCTTAAAGGGGGGATCAATAAGGGGAGAGGGAATAATTCCTTAATCATGCCCAACATATTGTTGCACTGTATTGCACATGGGAGAACGCGGAGCGAGAGAGGGGGGTAGGACAGTATGGGGGAGGGGTTTCGACGCAATGCAGACCGCGCGTGGCCACAAGTGCTTGTCCACGCAATGCGCGAGAGCATTTATGTGCCAACAACACTGGCCCAGTATCTGATTCGCCGAGCACTAATGTGCACAGATACTTTAACTGACCACACTAACCAATAACCACAATAAAAAGACGACTTCCCTAAAGAGCTCTTTGTCGTGGAATACTGCGACTTTTTTCCACCCAAAAGAGTTAAAACGCCGCACAGCTCCATGCGTGCTGTTTGAGACTAGATCGTGCGGGGGTTGGAATATTTATAGAATAACGTGGGTGGGTGTATGTGCTCGGACGGACGGCGATTTTTGCAGCACACTCGGTTAGAGCGTTTTCCAGCATAGGCTGATTATATAGGCAGTTTGTTTTTATAAATCTCACTTTCATTTTCCTTTAGAATTACCAGGAATTTTTTTTTCTTGAAACGTTTGAATGTTTGAATTTGTGAGTCACTTATTTCAACATCATTTCTGTCATTTAGAATGGTGGGGAAATCACTCTGTATAATTGACAATTTTATCAAGAATATACCACTGACATGCAGGTTAATGATGCCCGACATGTTTTTTAAGATGCAGCTGACATGTGCCAACTTATAGCTAAATGCAATGCTTGCATTCATGTTCGTAGAAAAGTTATAGGCCTACAAATTTCCACAAAAATATGATTTAATGATTCTAAAACGTGGTTTAGCCATTAAGTAAGCAGTACTATTCTTTTCCTTTACACCTTGAAATATAATCGTTTTCATACAGTTTTAAGCAATGAATATTCCTCAGGTATTGCTTTTGTAATGTTCTCAGATATGGCTTTTCCTAGGGTTACTCCTTTTACCCTTTATTGAACAAAACGTACATTAAAACACATTAAAAATCAAAATGTGACGTTTTACTTTAGTTTAGCAGACAATAATGTTTTAAGAAATAATATTTTTAATATATTTTTAATATTTAAATATTGATATTTTAAAACACTGTATATGCTTTTTTTACGTCAGCATTTCAGAATGTTCACAATTTGACGTTTTATTTTTTCATTTTATTTTATAAAGCCATGTTTTTACTTTAAGCCTCCCAAAAATAACTTAAGTAACTTAAAATATGTTCAGCACAGAAACGTTTAAACTTAATACGTTTTATGGATTTAATACACATCATTGAACTATATATGTATTTAAATATGAAACAATCGAATATAATTCTGATGATGATGTAGTAACACAAAATCTTTTTTTTTATGCTTGCGGACGGTGATGTTTCCTCCAGTTTACCAGTAGGTGGCGCACAAACATCATCAAACCGATACAAACACCACCAGAATGAATGATCGGTGCATGAAATCCACCCATTAGTGTCAGGAACATGTAAAAGAACTCGTGACTTAATTCAGAGAGGGAAAAGCTTGAATTAAAAAAACAAACAAAATAAATATGAGCTATACAGGATGACTTATGAACTTGGTAAATTGTTAGCTACCTACATTAAACATATATCAAGTTGATCTCCTGAATATGTCCATCAGCCAAACAGAGTACAAGCACTAGGCCTAGTTTTCATTATGAGGCACTGTTAGAACAGCAGCTGGAGTGAGTGAACTCTTAACTGCTAAATATCATAAATAAGAAATGGGCAGACCTTTCCTCCCCTCACTTTGCCGTTCAATAACTTCCCCATGTAGGCTACTTTTGGTGAGTAGCGATTAGTTCAATCAACGTAAATGCATCAGTAGTCATTAATCAGAGCTGTCTGAAGTGTCACAGATCCCACCTGTTATACATTATTGATGGAGTAATTAAGTACAGTCTTGTAAGTGCTTCATCGCTCTGTTTAAACTGACCATGACCGTATTACTTTATCTTGATTTTTGGAGACATAGTATAATTGCATGCCTCAACTTCAAAAGCTTTTTAAAAAGGACATCCACTAAGCACAATTTAGTTAAATTGGAAGTGTTTGTTGGGCCATTGCTATAGTAAATGATGCAGGACATCCAATGAGCTTTTTACCCCCAGATACGTCTGGTGGTGAGCAATATGATTCAAAGTAACATGCTACAATGCCACAGTAGAAAAAAATTTTTCACCATCAGCATGTATTTTGTAATAAACAACTACAAAAGAAAACATCTTTCACAGGACAATACTTTGGATCACTCAGTCATGTCACTCAGGTCTGCAATCCATAATGTAAAGTTTTACTTTACAGAAAACCTTTAAAACTTAATTTATCAAGAGAAATGATACAAACAACGTTTAATTATGAATGTGACAAAATATTTATTTATCAAAAATAAATGAACAATTCATGCCTCATTAATGTGTTAGAAAAATAGCTTGTTCACATGGTCTGATGCTGTCACGTGGGCAGGTTACCACAAGATGTTAAGGTAACAAGCATCTAGTGTCAGACCATATACTTACATTTTATCCTGAGAAATGGCAACATATGCAAAGTACAACTCTTGCATGTTTAAAGCACACAGATTACACAAGGCAGAGATTATAGAGATATTTAAGAACAATATCTCACAAGGCAATGACATAATGAAGACTTAAACAAAGCTTAAAACATTTGATAAATAATATGTAAATAAGTTCTAGATTACAAATATATTACAATATATTACAAAAATCAGTAGCGGCCTGTGAGGTTTTGAGAGGAGGATTTGTAAATTAATAGGTGATCGATGAACCAATATGCCTATTTATATATTTACTGATAATTATGCTTACATACAGAAATTATACATTCGATATAAAAATAGCCTTGATAATTAATAGCTTTATAATCACAATAATGAATAAAAATTTCTCAGTGCCATGTACAGACTACATGCACATACGCAAATACTGTAGCCTACTTTATGACCATTTCAAACTTTCTTACACGAACGGAGAGCCCCATTCTTTCTAACATTAACTCACCTGTGTGAATTCAATCATTCGCTCCTTCATTTTGGTAAATGTGTATATCGTCCTGTCATTCAGTCTCATCTTTCATTCATTTGTAATTAATAGATATTTTGGCTAGTTTCTGTTCACCTGTTGTCCGACAACAAGCAGGCTTGATGACGCAATAACGTGAAACTGAAATCTGATTGGTTTGAATGCTTGCCTCTCTGACGATTGGTTAAATGCGGGAAGAAGCGAATTTTATTAGCCTCATTTCGCATTTTGGACGGAAGTAATGTCTAATCTGATTGGTCAGTTTAGTAATAATGCTGTCTGCCTCCTGTAACATCCGTGCAGTGGTCGACGCTACAGAGCACTGAGCACCAGAACGACCAGACACAGGAACAGTTTCTTCCCTCAGGCAATCCATCTCATGAACACTTAACAATAACTGTGGAACACACACTATTTATTCACTCATACACTTATTTATCTAACACACATACTCAGTCTACACCTCAAATTTGCACATAATATACAGTACCTGTACATACAAAAACTGTCTATTGTAATATACCTGCACATACAACTGTCAATTTATATATTTTTATTCCTTATTTACTTGTTCTATTTTTTTATTATCTGTGTTTTTTGTTCTGTCACTGTCATTCTGTTACACTGTGGAAGCTTCTGTCACGAAAACAAATTCCTCGTATGTGTAAACATACCTGGCAATAAAGCTCATTCTGATTCTGATTCTGATTCTAAAACTCACCAGAGCTTCCGCGTAATAAAAATATTCACAACATATGCATTATGCACATTTATGGGTAAACTGAAAAAGTTAATTGTATCAGTTCGTCTGTTTGTTCCTTTTAAACACATAGCCTCTGACGGACCGCTACTGACAAAAATACACACAAATTGCATGTTTATGCAGGTAATATCAACTTCTGTCTTCTTTATAGAGAAGAAATGTCTTCATACAGCTGCTTCTTCCTGCAATTAGAAGTAACATCAATGTGGTGACACGGATAATGAGACATGCACCTATCAGTGAATGTGACATCTGTTCTCAAAAGAGTTTACTGCAAGGCTGTAATGCAGTACTCTCTAAAAAAAACCAATTCCGCCGAAAGGGGGAGATCGATACACATAAAATCACGTTGGTCCTTTGAGTGACAAGTGAACAAATAATTTGCCTATACCCTGTTCATGATTTTAGCAATAGGCCTACTAACATATTTTGCTATTCTTAAACCATTAATAAAAACCCAATGAATTTCTGTTGAAAATAAAATATGACTTTTATTTAATTTTACAGCTGAAGTGTAGGCTTAAGTCCTGTCCCAAATTGCATACTATACACTATACACTTTTATTATGCATTATGTACTCAGCAGTCCAGTGTATGATTTGTATAAGGTTATTTTGTCACCAACTTTAGAGTCCAATAGCCCCTCCACCTCCGTTACATAAGGAAAGCTGTGACAGTTGAGTGCATGAAGTGTCCAACATCCGAGGACCAAATTCTACTGGGGATCCTTTGTGTGAATTTAAACTGGAGAAGTGCCTGGCTTCTGCTGGACAAGTTTTGTTTATTTAAAGTTAAGGAAGTCTATTTTTAAAATCCTTCATAAAATGTATTCTGTTAATTCTTCAGATTCTGATGTTGATGAGACATGTTCATTCGGTGGTGTAGTAGAAGAAACAGCTGCCTACTT